GGGATATCATTAATTCCCAGCGGATGGCGATTTGCCTTGATGAGCCGCGCGAAGCTCAATACATGGCGGGATTCATCGCGCTGCAGATGTCAAAGATGTGGGGGATGTTCGAAGGTGGTGAAAAGAGAACGATCGATGCCGCGCTCGAAGGGAAGCAACGCTGCCCATACCACAACGACTTCAAGAAGTACCCCAACATTACGGAGATTGATCAGGAAGGGATCCTTTTGCCATCGACGGTACTGAAGATTTCTCAATCTCAGAACGTTCGAGAAAGGACCTTCCGGTCGGCTGAGGAGCGTAATGAATACATTCGTCTGATGGTATGCAAGTGCGAGGGGCTATGCATATTTTACTGTGGATTGCAGCGAGAATCCTCGACATCACCAAAGACGAAATGAAGCTCCTGGTCAAGGATCGCGTGCGCCGGGTGGGTGATATCATTTACAGATGCTTCTCCCTGGCTTTCAACTGTAAATATATATCGTTCGCAAGGGAAGGCCTGAACCTTGGCAGACGTGGTTATTCGGTCAATGTGAGCGCCATTATTGCAGCCACTGACCCGAACAAATGCGACACACCTCTGCTGGATTGGTGCCTACGAATGGGGCATTGGATACCAGAAGATCATCATAAGAAGTGTGTCCGGGCGCGAGAAGCCCAAACCATTGGAGACAGGTATGCGTAATGCAGATGTGGATTATTATTGCTTATACGGTGCGGTGCGCCCACCAACAGCGATACATATATTCACTCCGATGTTGATTGCGGCACGATGTGGGCTAGTCCCCATCTATTGCTTGCGTCTCATCAATGTCATTGCGATGGAACGACTCTACATCATGATATGATTTCATGCGTCCAAGATGAATGGATGTGTATACATTTACATATTCCGACGGCTATGACATTCCGGATATTCATGGATGGAACTATTACCTCATGGATGATTTCCTTTTCATTATATATATATATATTTATTCATGGTACCTGGAATGGCTATGTTTTGCATGTATTGCTCACCAAATCTTCTTTGCCGATGATATTCAGATGGCTCATGACCGTGCGCTACTATGGATTTCTATGGCCAACCCATTTCTGTGGATGACGGCTGCGCGATGCGCAAATGCGGCAGCCGGGATTTCAAGTGGTTGCGTATTGGCTAGAGGCAAAATGTCTCTTGCATCTGAGTATAGGAATGTGCTACGATTTGTGGATGCATGTTTCTGCCTTGATTGGACCTGGCAAGTTTCACAATGAATGGACGGTGTAGCAATAGTGAATGAAAGAGTGTTCGACACAGTTTCGTAGCTGAAGCCGTGGCCATTGGAACGTTTTGTGGTGTTTGGACCGCATGATGAACAATGCGACCCAAATGGGGGATGTTAAAACCCTCCTGGCCCCGTGCCTAAATTGGGAAGCAGTTCTGAGGTCCGTGTTTGTGTTGCTTACAAGGTTCCATTGATTGCCATTTGGCTCAAGTCACAAGTGAGGTTCAAGATCTTATGTGAAGCTGCGTTCATACGTGATCGGCAATTGAGAGCGGAAAACACTTCGCTTGCGCTGCATTTGTCAGGACCACTGTTGTAACTATTATTCCTTCTCCCTTACAACAGTTACACGGGTTCGGCTATAACGGTTTGACCGTATACACCTTTCTACGTGGTTGGTATTTACAGCTGGAGGGTTCGGTGGACAGCGTCCCACGGGACGTCACCTTGCCGTCTCTTGACAAATGCCCTCCTATTTGAATCATCATTTTTTGACCCCGTCAACCCGCCAGCTACTTTTTCGATTTTGTTTCCCACGTTTTGTTGGTGATGCTAGCGATGTTGATCGGACATTCGGGGGATGTTGAAAACAATGCTGGGGATGTTGACGGGCTAGTGTAAAATGCGTAAATTTCGCGAGAAAATGCTGTAAAATACAACATTTTATTGGCCCGGACGAAAAACAAAAAAACACAAAAACATCCAAAAATAAATCCGCACCCATTTCCAATGGTTGCCCCCTGTTCACATGTAAGCCCGAAATGCACAGAAAAGGGCTGCGAAGCTTCAGACATGTATTCAAGTGTCATGCAATGTCAACCGTTTAGAACATCATGACGTGGAATTTGAGGGGCGATCCGGCCAAAAGGGCGGCGATCCGTCCAAAAGGGCGGCGATCCGTCCAAAAGTATCCCGGCTGAGACTTGTGAAGCAAACCATGTGAACAGGGCAAATGATGTTTACCATGCTACTTGCTTCTTCATTTTTCTTCTTCATTGTTCATTCTTCATTATAACTGTTCCTTCTTTCTTCTTTCTTCTTCCTTCTTTCTTCTTGTTCCTTACTCCTTGCTCCTTGCTCCTCGTTCCTCGCTCCTTGCTTCTTGCTTATTGCTTCTTGCTTCTTGCTTCTTGTTTCATTCGGTTTTCCGCTTTCTGCTTATTGTTGTCTCTTTGTTTTTTCTTCTTTTTCTTTCTCTTGGTTTCCACTCTGTCACTTTGTTGTTTCTCTTTCTCATTGTTTTTTCACTTTCTCTTCCTTTGTCTCTTCCTCTTTTTCTTCGTTTTGCCTTTTGTTTCTTTTTCTCTCTCTCTCTCTCTCTCTTCCCTGTCAAGATGCAAACAAGGACATGTTACATGTGTTGTCCACTGTGGGCCTTGAGCTACAAACCATAGTGAACAGATTGAACTACAGTTGCAATGTTAAACAAATCAACAAGCATGTGCTCTGTGGTATTGAGTTGCCTGAATTTAACGTGGAAAGAGCCTAGATCCTACTCATAGGGAAGCTCCAGATACGACAGTAAGTACAACAGCAAAGCCGCCACACGCCAAGCTACTGCCACATATCAGGAAAACCGGCATCAGCATCAGCTCAGCCCACTACAGGAGCAAGCAACGGAACAACTACAGAAGGGACAGCTGGAGCAAGAACTGCAGGAGCAGTGCAAGAACAGGACAACGACGTCCAACGACTACAAACTGCCGCCACCGTTCTTTAATGGTGACTACTCGCTGTTTGAAGACTGGCTCTTTAAGCTACACGGCTACCTTGGACAAATCGACAGAGACTTCGACTTGGTACCGCAGCTGGCACAAGTGGCTACACGACTAGATTGAGGATGCGGACATCAGAGCCCACATGAGACGCCTCGCAAGCACCAAGACCAGTAGACCTCGCAATGAGACCTACACTACATTCTCATCAAGATCTGTCAGCAGCTACGGTAGTACAGGCTATCTTACCAAACTACTGGAACCAACATTCAACGAGGCACAGTTCGAAGAACAATTCCTATAACGGGAATACGACGTCAGTCGCTATGGACTGAGCATTGCAATACTACTTAGCAAGACCACGGGAGCGCTGCAACAACATCTTCAACTTCGTGCTGGGCAGATCAGCTAGACCAAGATACTGTCAGAGCAGTCAGTTTCAGATCGATGTCAGCACGCAAACCAGCTCCAATGAACGTTGACAACATATTGAGGAAAGGAAGAAACTACAAAGGCAAAGGAAGGAACAAAGGACACTACTACAGCAAAGGAGGGCGCAACAGAGGCAAAGGAAAGACTACAGTGGATCCAAAAACTGGGTCAGGCAAAGGCTACAGAGACCAAGGAAACTACAACACGTCAAAAGGAACAGGAAATAGCAACTGCGTGACACGCCGCAGATGTGGTAAACCTGGTCAGTGGGCGCAAGACTGCAGAAACTGCTCAGCGCAGCAATGAGGGGCTACCGCAAGGCATCAACGACGCTTGGGGTTGGTACTTCAAAGGAGAAGAAGGACAGGGGCAGGATGCAGACCACACGGAGGAGAACTGGAACGGAATGGCTGCGACTGGAACGACCGCAGTCGGCGTTGGAGCGATCGCAACTATGGAGATGCAGCCAACTACATTGGAGGCATCAACGAGTCACACCTCACCATTGGACACATCAGCCAAGCAAAGACACTGCCTTGCAGGCGCAAGCTTAAAAGCATGACTTCAGAAAAGAGCATCACACACAACATCATGGAACGACCACAATAATCACTTCCAGCAACTCCTACAAGAGGACGCAACACAACTGCACTTCGACATAGCAGCAGCAACACCAAAGCAAAGACAAAGTAAAACCAACAACCAACACTGCTTACAACAGGATGGCGACATCACGCAAAGAGAAGGTGCACAAGATCAAGTTAGCTTGTATTTCTAGGAAGGTGAAGTCACACCGAAAAGTTGGCATGCCCTAAAAGTTGGTATGAGAAGTTGGCAGGTGAAGAAACTCTCTAAAAGTTGGTATGAGAAGTTGGCAGGTGAAGTAACTCTAAAAGTTGGCAGGCGAAGTTGGCAGGTGAAGCAACTCTCAAAAAGTTGGCAAGCGAAATTTGGAGGTGACATTGGCAGCCGCTTTCCTTCGCGATGCTTCCGGCAAGAAACACGCACGAGCTTTTCAGGGTCGACCCACCCAAAGTGCGGAGACGGTTCACCGATTCCTTTGGGATTGCCCGCTCCGAGACCGATCCGAGCCGTTTGCGCACATGTGGAAGAGAGGAATGCACACACGTTTTCTCCCTCTTGCTATTCTCCGGTTTTCACGATTCTTGGTTTTTGCACGATCTCCTTGTTTTTTTTTGTCTTTTTCACGCATATTGCATGCGTGTCTTAGGGCGAGTTAGCCTGAATAAGTTTCAGTATGGCAAAAGTTCTTGTTAAACTTCCTTTGATGATACTTATTTGTTGTTCTGGCATTGAAAAAGTGGAGTAGCGCCAACTCCTCGTTCCTTCATTCCTTCTTTATTCCTTGTTCGCCACCTCGTTTGAGTCCTATCCTGATACAGCGGATCCTTGTTGGACGTTGTTTCCATGATTCGTTGCGCATTTCATGGCGTTGTTCCGTATTTGTCATGTGCGTGTGCCAGCCTGCAGCATGCCGCATGGACATGAGAGGAAACATGAAAAACATCTCATAACATGAATAATGTGCATATCATCGATGCGCGCTGGGACTGGGACGGAGGCAAAACCGGTCGCATTCCCGGGCAGCGCTCCGCATAGAAATGGAGAGCCTTGGGTTCAGGCCGGTGAGCTTTGTGCCCCTGCACTTGATTCATCAGGTGTCCGTTTATCACGGACGGATGAAACATTGCCACTATCGGGATCTTCACCTCAATCGAGCTTTGGCGCGTGATCACTTCCAGATTGCAGGCCGTTGCTCTTGGAACGGACCACTCGAAGCTCGGCTGGACAAAGCATTGTCAGCCTGAATCACTGCATCGTGTGCCTTGACTGAGGATGGCAATTGTCGGCGGCAAGGTCTACAGATGGGGCTTGCAAGGTCTGCCCACTCAAACCAGAAGCAAACACAGCAGGTGCACACGCTGTGTGAAAGCGAGACATGTTCTTTGTCCTTGTCTCCAGTTGAGAACGAGTGTTGCATAGAAGTCTTGGCAGTCGGAAAAGTGTCCGTTGAGTTGGGTGCTCATTTTGTTTGTTTTGTGTTTTCGAAAGCTCTCGTCGCGCTCGCGATCCAGGCGCCCATGCGGTGCCGCGCTCCTGGCGGGGAGGTCGCTGGGTGCGGCACCTGGAGAGAAGAAGGAAAGTCAGGAAGAGAGAGAAAAGGGATACAAGAATATCCAACACACAAAGGAAGACAGGGCAATAAGGACAGAAGAAGAGAGAGAAGACAAAAGGACACAACACGAAAGGGGAGCGAAAGGGAGTGACCAAGGGACATGGAGGGAGTGATCGAATTGGGACCGATTGCATGTGGCGTTTCGTCGCATACCTGACAAGTTGGGTGACCCTCTTTTTGGAGAACCTCCCAGACCCTTTCAGTAGATGCGGAGCTCCCTTAACAAGACTACACGTAGCCGGATCCCCAAAGCCAGTTGTGCACGTCATTTCCTTGGCGCTGAGACTGATGCGGACAAAACGGCGCCGGAGGCTGGTGACTTGATGACTTGATGACTTGATGACTTGACCAGAGCTCGCGTGGATGCGTTGACGCGCAGGTGGTGCCGTCTCCGTTGCTCCTGGCCGACCTCCGGTCGCAGGCGCTTGGGATCTCGGGTGTCGATGTCTCCAGTTCTCCTCGGAGGATCGGTCCCGAAGCCCCAGCCGCAGAAGCCCCAGCCCTCGGAGAGGCACGTGGCGCTTTCAGCGAGACGGAATGCGGAAATGCCACGTGGCACATGCAAGGCGTGGCATCCATCACTTGCGGCGGCAGCTGCCTGAGCGCTGACTTGGGACTTGGGGCTTGGTGCACTCGAGGTTCCAACTCCTTCGTGCCCGGTGCTTTGGTGCTTTGCGCGAATAGGAAAGACCCGGTTGCTGTGTGCTCAAGGCTCACCACGAGCGGTGAGGTGCTGCTGCTGGGTGGCCTGTGGCCTCCCGGGGGCGTCGGGCTGCCAGACAGCGAACAGACCATGTCCTTTGCGCCGTCCCGTCCCAGGAGACGGGCCAGTTGCGCCACTTGTGGGGTCGCTGCCGCAGACAGCCCCGAGTCGGCCCCGAGAGAATTGAAAGCAACCGGAGCGATCGAGGCATTGCCAAAGGCGGCCCTCCTTCGAGGGTGGCCAAGGCTGAGCCCAGTGGCCCTGCTGCCTTTTGCGCCACTGGGCTTTGGCAGGTTGCGGCCGGCTGGCGCCACTGCTTGCTCCTCACCGAGGCGACTCGTGTCGGGCAGCTTGCCAGCCTGCCAGCCTGCCAGCCTGCCAGCCTGCCAGCCTGCCAGCCTGCCAGCCTGCCAGCCTGCCAGCCTGCCAGCCTGCCAGCCTGCCAGCCTGCCAGTGAGGCGGGCCGCGTCTTTGCATTGGGCGACGATGAGTTCGGGCAGTGCGCGGGCAGCGGCAGTGCCTGCCTCGAGAGCTCGAGAGCTAGCAGGCAGGTCAGGCAGGCCAGGCAGAATGCAGGTGGAGCGGCGGCAATCTCGCTGTCGCAGTGTCCGGCAATAGGCGCGGGCTTGCGTTGACTTCGAGTCTGAGTGAAGCTGCTTCGATTCACAGATTCTTGAAGGTGTTGCTGCCGGTGCCTGCCACTCTTTTGCCTGGGACTCCTCAGGTTCGGTTCGCATTGGGTGGATTCGACCTTGGAATCGCAAAGCGAGCAAGACTATTAAGCTGGACACGTGCGCCACAAAGGGGTCAAGAGTGCGGAACCATTCCTTGCAAGCCGGCATGGACATGTCCGGACTCAAAACAGTGCGGCCGGTCCCAGAGTTCTTCCAACTTACAGTACCTGAATGAGGGATATTGAATGCCACCAGGAAGTGTAGACAAGCGATGGCTGACGTGAAATAGGTTGATGTGGCCTGCAAGGCCATTTGGTCCCTTTTCTCGCGTTGACAGAATGTACGTTTGCCGCTGCGCCCCTTTCTCAAAGCTGCATGTTGCCTGCGTGTCAGAAGGCACATCACGGCATATGCTTGCAATTGCCAGGCCGTGTCTTTGGATGGGGCCACGGTGGTAGTGGCAGGCGGGGGCAGCGAAGTTGTGTAGGTCTCTGCGTTTTCGGGGGTTTCTCTCGCGCTTTGCGGTGCTGAGATTGGGCCTTGGAACCACCTCCCACCACACCCTGCCAGAACAGGTTCGGGGGCCTGGTCACTGTGCCGGCAACTGCACAACTGCCTTGTGCTGTTGCTTCAGGTTGAGGCTCTGGTGGATGTGTGTGGAGTTTCATGCGGTGCCCGGCCCGGATGGGTACGATGCCTCCACATACTTCTTATCAAGTCACCAAGTGCAGAAGCACTTTGATTCAATCCACAGGCTCTCAATGTGCAGTCAGCCTGGAGTCTAGCCATTCGAAGGTCTCACGAGGCAATGTCACCCCTTTGTCCAGACATGTACACAAACACACACACACACACACTGATTTTGCGTGTTGGAGTTCTCAACACTCATGCTTGCCACAGGTCAACCCAACAGGTTCCAACGCGCAATGCAATGCATGATCTATTTGTATTGATCGAGAGCACACGAACCACAAACTCCGAGTGCAGATTCTGCCGCAAGTTTCCTGCTGGTGACCAACGCACTTGATTGCCAGTTCCAGAGAATCGTGTTGTTACATCATGTACGCATCCTGTGTTTGTCTTTCAAAGTAAATCGGGAGCCAGCAATTAAATGTCAGTCTGCGCCAATGGACCATCGACCAAAATAAGCTCCATAGATGAGCAGGTGTGCCTTGAGGTGCAAATTTCAGCACTTTCGTGACTAATTGTGGTCATCATCTTTGGGCTTGTGGCTGGAGACTGAGCACAGTGCAGTTTCGCCACTTCAGGCCTACCAACATTTGAGAGTTCTAAGGTGGGAACAACTACGGACAGTTGGGCTGCGATTGCAAAAGCAAGCTGCTGCCCACCCCAGTTGATCTGACCGGCGAGGCAGGTCAGATTTCAATAAAAAGAGAGGGTTGGTACATGTTGGTCAAGAGATCAAGAGACATGAGCTGCTGCACAGACCACTTCCGCAAGTTGCCGTATTCTCCGCAGGTCGTTGCAGCGCTCGAAAGTGGAACGAACCACGTCATTTGCCTTACGCGGTCCACAGCGCATGGCTCGGGACATTTAGCCAAACAAATTGGAAGCTCAGCGGGCGCGCTCTCAATTCTCGACGCAGATCAACCTTTGCGGCTGCGGTTTGGCTTGAATCGCTGCAAGTAGCACATCGAGCTAAGCTTTATATTTACTTATATTTAGTCACCATGTTTTCATAGCTGCCAGCGGCACACGTGATGTCGGCTTATCGTAAGGGTACTTCGCCTTGTTCAATCTAAGGCCGGAAGGGTGCGAGAGGACTGCGCAGCCCAGAAGCCCAGAAGCCCAAGCTGGCATTCTGACTGGCAGGAAAGGACCAGCGTTTGGACATGGGGCTGTTCAACATCTGGACAGTGTGGGCGGACTGAGCAGGCTCCGAGAGTCTTGAGAGTTCCGAGAGTTTCGAGAGTCTCTAAGGAAAGCCCGAGGCGCTGCTCATGGCGCTGAGAGCTTGGGTTTTCGGGTTTTCGGGGTTTTGGTTTTCGAGGCCTCAGAAGCTGCTGCACTTCTCCCCACCGTCGCCCCATTGTGCCGTGCCCCGTCTGAACACGCGTTGATTCGCGTTGGACCTCTCTCCTTTCAAGGTGGCAGTGGCTGCTGGACGCTCCCACTCGGCCGTGATCGCATCTGGTGGAACTGGGCATCTTCTGCAACACTGGCCTGTTTTTCGATGGGAAAGTTGGCTTGACAGGTTCAAGATGGCTTGACAGGGCCGTTCCTCGCTTTGGCAGCCCCAAAGTGAGCTGTGACAACTCATTGGAGAGGGACGTGAAGGCACAGGTCACTCCGATTGAAGCGACCGAGGCAGGGCCTGGGGCCTTAGGGCCTCAGGGCAGTTCGGAAGCCGCGAGGACATCATCGAAGAGTTTCTGACTGGCCTGAGCGAGCTGAGCGAGCTGACCGAGCTGACCGAGCGCTCCAGATCCCCTGCGGCCGCCCTGGCTGGAGACTCGACGTGTGCCAAGCGACTGCCAAGCGAATGCGAGACTCACTCACAGAGCCACGGGGAGCCCGAGCCACGTGGCCCTTTGGCCCAAAGTTCAGAAGGTTTGCCGCAGCGGGTCTTTTCGCTGTGCGCGCCATGCCTACGAAAGGACTGATCGGTGTCGATGTTGGGGTTACGTGGCCGGGCCTTGGCGCCTGGCCGCTCAGCGTTGCGTAGGCTAAATACGACAAGCCAAGGACGAGCATCCAGCGTGCCCTTGCTGTTGCTGGCCATGGCGGCGTGGCTCTTTGCAGATCTCAGCTTTCTGGGAGGAGGAGGAGGAGGCGTGAACAGGAGGAAGAGAGCAAGAGAAGAGAGATAAAGAGAGAGAGAGAGAGCGAGAGAAAGCGAGGATCAGAATGGAAGAGGGGAAGATGGAAGAGATGGGTTTCAGTGCGGCACCGTCGCAGGCAGCGCACCTCCATCAGGGCCCGGCGTGAAGCCCAAGGGCTACGACGGCTCCGAAATCGACCCAGAGGAGTCCCCCCGAAATCAACCTCCGCGATTCGTTCCCTCAAAAGCTCTTCACTCACCACTGCCGGTATCTTTCACCATCCGGAAATTCTCACCTGAGCCACAATCAAAACCTGGGTAGATGAAGGTTAGTAAGGGGCGATCCCAAACATAAATAGCTGCGGCCGCCTTCTTAATTCTTTGCAGGGTTCTGGGTCAATCATTTTTGTACCAGGTTTTGATTGCGACTCACCTGTTTTGGGCACGTTGATCTCGTTGCTTGACGACTATCCTGCCTTGCAATTTTGCCAAGTATCAGGAGATGGGGAAAACTGAGTGGGAGGTGCAGTGGTGGAGAGACATGAAAGATCAGCAGCAGTCCATGGCCAAGAAAGCCGCCATCGAGAAGGAGAGGGAGGGCGATTAAGAGAACTGGCAATGCTTGTTTCTTTCGGCTTCTAGCGGTCTTCGATATTTCACTCGATCCCTTTTTTTTTGCAGAGTGAAGCGTTTCAAGCATCGATCTCAGGTGACGGCGACAAGCAGTCCTTGCAGATTCTTCTCTACTTGTTTGGCTTTCTTTTGGTCGGGACATTCCTTGTATTCCTACCGTCACTGCTTGGATTCAGGTGAGCCAACACTCAGAGTCGCACTGCGAACTTTTAACCCAATCAAAAGACTCGTTTTCTGGTGCCATTCATGCGCCACAGTGGAAAAACGGGTGAGCTTGATGGTTGGCTTTTGTAGTGGCCTTGCATTCAATTTGCTTGAGTGTTTAGCTTTGACATTGTGCGCCTAGGTCGAAATGGGGGAAGCTGCGTTGCGAGGCGAAGGCTTTGCGAGGGCTTTGCTATTTCAGCCATTGCCTCGCACAATGGCACTTTCTAGGAGACAAAGGCCCTCCCGAGGCCGGGGAGGAGCATAGACTCACCAGCGGGTGCGGAAAGACTCCGAAAACGACAACGCATAACCAGCAACAACAAATCAATGGTGTGGAGCAGCAGTTAATAGAGGTTGACACTTGATCGCTTTCACAGACGCGAGCAGCAAAATGTAGCTTGAGGTAAAAGAAGCGCAATCCACACAGGAACATTCTGCGGACACATGGGCGGAGAATGCAATGTCTGGACATGTTGGCAGGTTCAGCGTGTCTCGCCCTCCTCGCCTGCACAGCAACGAGGCAAGGACTTCTTTCAATTGAGTCTGTATGATTCTTGCAGAGGGCGATTGGGTCTGCGACATGCGGGGAGCTTGGACATTGTTGCAACACAACCTACGTCTATGCGCAAGCCGCACAGGATCGCTACATCGGCAGGCAGGGCAATTGTGGCAGGCAGCAAGCCTCAGCGACTTGACAGGCGCTCAGTGACGCGGCCACGAGAGCGTCCCAGCTGGCGCCCAAAGGCGACTCGAGCCGAGAGCTTTCTGCTTGCGAGGTCGCGAGAGGCAGCCGAAGCCGAAGCAACCGAAGGAGCCGAAGGAGCCGAAGGAGGCGAAGGAGGCGAAGGAGGCAAGAGGCTTCATGAGCCGGAGCTACCTGGAATCGACACACACGGAGGTGCGCGTGCCTCCTTTGAAGCCCCCACAGGCTCCCGTTTTTGTTTTACGCGCTCTGGAGGCTCAAGTGAACATCGCAGGCGTGGAAGTGGAAGGACCAGGGCCTTAGGGCCGGGCCTTGCCTTAGGCAGACTACTGGCAGACGCTCTCGAAGCTGACAAATGGAGCGGCATCCACGAGTCGCTGAAGGCCCGCCAGCTGAGCTTGCTACAGATGCCATGGGATGCCATGGGATGCCATGGGATGCCATGGGATTCCCCCGACGCTCCTGCTTCGACGCTTCTGCTTCGACGCTTCGGGAGGGCCTCAGTTCCTTCATTGCGCAGATCGGCTCGCCTGAGCGTATGGGTCCTATGGCCCTTCGGATGGCACCGAGAAAGGGGGCGGATGATGGTGGAACACACGATTTCGCACGCCAGGACAGGGCATGGTATCCAGAGACAAGTGGCTGGGTCCCAAGCAGGAGCTGCTGGCTTTTGGTGCCTGGTTCCATATTGCGTCGAAAGGATGTGCGCCCTAGGCGATGAGTTTTTTCAGAAGTTCCGAAGCTTAGATTTGGGGGGTGGCAACTTGACTTCCAGGATCTGGGCAAGGCCCTCTGCAGCCGTTTCTCTTGCCATGTGCACTAACAACATGCAGCCACGGTCAATTTAAGCTAAGTCTATGGCACCAGCTTTGATACTCACTCAGACCAGCTCGCGCACGGCTCAAAATACAACCTGGTTGAGCCCAAATAGCCATGACAGGATGAACCAGGACAGCTGGCACAGCCGCCCGCCCGGATTTTGCGATGACACTGGCTGCTACAGGCTTGACGAGATGCCTTGACTGTGCGAGCGCCGACAGATACAGATGTAGGTGAAGACGGGAATCAATCAGTGATTGAGGCCGGTTTGACTTATCTTTGCGATGAGTTTGACCTTGTCAACTGGCATGCGCATGAACAATTCGGAATATTTCAGAATCTAGGGTTAAACACCAATAATCCCACATAGAGAAGGCAGATAAGACGCCAGTTTCTCGTGCATGGAAGATAGGGCATGGAAGATAGGGGAAGGAAGCTATCTGACGCAGAGCCGCAGGAAGGGCAGTTAGTAACTTAGCGTCTGATGAGCCCGAGGGGGCAGATAGCATTTGTTTTACTACCATTACTACTGCTTTCCCGACTCTTGTTGAGACTAGCTACTTTGAGGCTACTCCCACTGCTATTCTTGCTTTTGCCACGGTCGTACTACCAGAGCCGGGGAAGCCGGTGGGCGGAAGTTTCAAACTTTAACGGCCTATCGGTTTGTGTTTCTTTCTCGTCTCCTTTCCCTTCTTCCTGTTCATTTTGTTCCTTCCTTCCTTCCTTCCTTTCTTTCTTTACTTGTTCTTTCTTTCTTTATTTCTTTCTTTCTTTCTTTCCTTCTTTGTTTCCTTCTTTCCATTGTTTCTTTGGATTCCTCCTTTCTGTCCATCTTTCTTTATTTGTTCTTCGTTGTGCTCCTCTTGTTGTTTCTGTCTTTCTGTCCTTCCTCTTTATTCACTGCTCTTTCTTTGATATTTTATCTATCGACCTTCCTATCTGTTCGCATCATTGTTTGGCAATCTCTCTATCTATCAATCTATCTAGCTATCTATCTCTCCACCTCTCTACCTCTCCACCTCTCGATCTCTCTATATCTTGTTCTCTCGATCTCTCGATCTCTCTATCGCTATCTCTTTTTTATCTCTCTATCTCTATCTATTTAGCTATGTATCTGTGTATCTGTGTATCTATCTATCTATCTATCTATCTATCTATCTATCTATCTATCTATCTATCTATTTGTTTGTCTGTCTGTCTGTCTGTCTGTCTGTCTGTCTGTCTGTCTGTCTGTCTGTCTATCTATATGTATCTATCTATCTATCTATCTACCTATTTGGCTATGTGTTGTAAACACATTGCGTTGCCCGCCTCGGCCAGAATGCTTTTGGCTGTTTTTGAGGTACTTTTGATCGGCTTCCAGCAGGGATTTGATCAGTTTGCAGGGGGGTTTGACAATTGACCGGTTTCTGGAAGAGAGACAGAGAGAGGCAGAGAGACAGAGAGATGTCAAGCTACATGTTGCGCTACTTGCCAGTTGCGCGTGCCGTACACTACTGCAGGCCCTGCGCTGTATTTTTACTACTGTACTTTTACTACGTGCGAGCCCGTAGGAGAACAAATATTGTGCAGAGTACTGTCGACGAGGAGCGCAAGGCGACTTACATAGCCAAACCACGCATGATCGGCAGCGCTATTGAAGTCAAGGACGTGTTCGACGAGAACTTGCCTTGCCGCAAGACAAGCGCTTGATCCTTGATTTCAAGATAGCGCAGTATGCCATGTATCGGAACTGGGCTCGTGCGGCTCGAACGCCGCCCGGAGAACTCCGTGGCTTCCACAGACATGCGCGAGACCCAGGTTCTCACCGTATGATTGACTTTGCCAACATCCATTTTATGCCTAGCCGCGCGGGGAGACCTGACGCCAAGTGCTCTCGAGTTCTTGAGAAGATCGCACGAAGCATCACTCCCTTCTGCGAACGACCGAAAGCAATGATCGCCGGAGCCGAGGCCGTCCCCAATATGTCGCACGGCTAGCGCTGGTCCCCCCGGAAGAAGGGGCGCGCCCATGTGGACGACATCTTTGTCTGCCACAGTGGCCGGCTTCTGGTCGACGAGTTCTCCGCATTGTACGGAAGCCTGTCAGCTGACCAGCGATAGAAGGTGATGGGATGGACAGGTGACTGGCAGCAAGTGTGCGAGAATGAAATTTGGGGCTGGGACCAATAATCGAGATGGTATGAGCGCTGGGAGATGCGGATGCCGTTGGGAGGCCGAAGATCAACACGCTTGAACAGCCGGAGCTGGCAACGAGTTCCATGTTCCGTCAATTTCAAGTCGGAGTTGAATTCAAGGTGTCCTGCTCCGGAAAGAGACCTTGTGCTTCTTGGGTTTGTTTGGTCAAGTAACCATCCCTAAATATTTGTCCTCCCGTTTCACCTTCGGACACGGGGAGTGTGGTTTATGTGATGATGTTTTATCTACAACCTTTGTGGACACTGAACAATCCCTGAATGTGTGTGACTAGTAGAGCTCGACCCAGCTCCAGAAAATCAGCGCGCTTGAGCAATTGGTGTCCTTCACTAGGCTTCTGCGTAATCTATGAGCACTTCTATCTGTTACTGAAGGCACTACTAGTGCTAGAGCTTAAATGGTCCTTGATCCATTTTTATTTCTTTGGCATTCTCAGCTTGCAAGGTCTTCGCTGGACTAAAAGACTTCAAAAGCAGGAAGCCCACAGAGCCGAAGGGGCCGAAAGTCTTTGCAGTAAGCAGGAGCCGGAAAAAGAAGTTTCCACAACGCTTGAGGCCTCACCCGGGAAAGATCTTTGGAGGCCCTGATACAGGCGTTGACCCCAGAGAAAATGTTCCAAGCTCCAGGCTGAGATTTGCTTGTAAGGCTCTATCTGCAGGCCGCTTTGGTGCCGATGAGGCAATGCCATGGCAGCTGCAGCTTGGGACCCCCTCCGCCTTGCCAATAGCTTGGGGCACCCTTGCTGTCGCACGCGGCGCTTTGTTCATGATTGCGAGGCAAGTCGCAACGCTTTCTCTTAAACCAGGCACTTCCCTGAACAAAGAAACGTCTCCATTGGTTCATTTGAGCGGATTAGTCGGAAATTCGCGCTGCCAGGTGGAGCGGCAGGCACTGGAGGCGATGCGCGCCGACTCCTGGGAGGCGATGTTCCGATTTCTTTTTGCTCGGGTTTATCGTTTTTCTTCGGGTTTCCAGCTTGGATTCGTTACTGGGGCACTTGAGACCACCGCACCTAGGCCAAGCAGGGAGGCCTGCAAGCAGCAGCCGAGGCCATCAAGACCTGGGATTCGCCAGGGACCCAGTCCCGCTTTCATGGCTCTCATGGCTCTCATGGCTCTCATGGCTCTCATTTGTTTGGGCCCGAGGCCCAGCTTTCGGGAGCAGCTGCTGGAGCAGGCTTGGAGTCGCCAGCGTTGTCTTTCGGCCCATTTCTGTAGCCCAGGTGCCACGGCTGTTGACAGATCAAGAGTATCGAGTGCGCAAGGCCGTTTCAATTGACGCGTCTTTTCAGTTGGCGCGTCACGTTCGCCGACGGCGAGGCTGTTGCGGCTGTGCTGCGAGAGTGCTGCTGCCGTGACGGGTGCTGCCCGCTTGCAATTCGTGTTCCGTCGCCAGCCGGGCAACCTTTGCCAACCTTTACCAACCTTTGCCAGCTTGCCCGTCTATGACAAGATGGGCAAGACCGTCTTGGCTGATATCGGAGACAAGTTCAAAAGACCAGAGGACTCCTGCGCTTGGTGGTGCGTCCCTTCAACCCTCATTGAACTCAGCAAAACTGCAGTCATCAGAAGGATCTGCCAGTGCTCAGTCACACTGTTGATCCAAGGGCTTTCGTGGAAACCCCAGAATTTGCTGGCGGGCCTTCGGCTGCAAGCTTGTCATTCAAAGTGCACGCCTTGTGACTTGCAGGAGGAAACTACGCAGGCCCATGTTGTGTTCGCTCACGGGCGATGTTCCTGAAAGCATGCAGGCGCCTGAAAACGCTGGAGGCCGCCTCGTGTCCTTTTGAATGCCGGAAGCACGTTGCGCTATTCAAGGCTATTCGGAGTCCCCGCCAACCTTCCTTCATGACACAGAAGGCGTGGAGCAAACGCAAAAGGAAAGGCGTATCATGGCAAAATATGAGGCAGCGACAACCTAAATCCGTCTGAGACTGAGGATGGAGATCCTTGGAGACGTCCATGGGAGCGCTGGAGGCACTATTCCCGGTAGTGTGGCCTCGCCAAGTTCTCTCCAGGCAATGATGCAAGGATGTGGAGCCGCTTTCACACCTCGCATTGATCGAAACTCAGCTCAGCCACGAGCTTTGGCCTGGGCCGCATCGGCTGCACAGGATGAATCCATGCTGGATTTGATGCAGGAGTGTTCCAGGTGCACTCGCTTTTCAGCTTGTGTGCAGTGCCTCTGTGCCCCTGCAGGCACACAAATCGCTTTGTGCGGGAATATACACACTTTGCGCTGAGGAACGTGTTTGATGCAGTCGCCTAAGTCTTCCGATCCCTGCGGCATGTTCTTAAGAACCTTTGCAGGTTTGCGACCACGACGTGTTTTTGGACTTTGTTGCTCCAAAGACTGCACAGCTCCTAGAGCAACCAGATTTCTGCCGCTTTCAGTAGGCAATTCGTGGAGCTGAGGTGCATATCGTGGCGAGCGGCATCAAGGACAACTGGAGCCAGGCGATGGAGTGAGTTTGATTCCGGGATGGGACTTGGGCTCCAGGTGCGTTATGCCGCGTCCGTGGCCGCGAGGGCCTTCAATGACAAGGCGCTCGGAGTTTTCGGAAGCTCTTGAGAGCTTTGTGAGCCCTTTTGATAGGCTGGCGAGGAGAGGGAGCGATTCTACCCTCAGCTGCTTGGCCTCATGTGCCCTCATCTCAGTGAACAATTCAGGGAAGCCTTTAGCATTCGCATCATTCGCATTGTTTCGGGTCGGATTGCTG